GCTACTAAGGCCTAGACACTTTTAAGTCAGAACTTTAAAGACTGTTAAAAGATCAGGATGAGGGCTCTCTGGTCTGCTGACATGAGACGTGCTGGAAACTGTTAACAGAGAGAACTTCCAGGAGCCTGGAAGGATGCTGATGTTGTGCCAGTATTTTATAAACAAAAATATGGATTGCTTGGCAAATTGGAATAATATGTTTTAATGTCTAGGATGGCGACCACAGGTCTTACAGGACAAAGGATTTTACTCTGGAAAGCAGTCACTTTGGAAAGGTGACTATGCCGACAGTCAAAAGTCAATTAAACATGAGTTCCCAGTGCAGTGCTGCAGGCAAAAGGGCTACAACACCACAGGAACCTGGAGTAGGAAGCAAGTGATGTCACCTTTCAATTGCGGTGTCACATCTACTTCTGACACAGCAAGTACAGTTTTGTTGACTACCACTCAAGAAGGCTGTTGATAAATAGAAGAGCACTCAGGAAACAGCTGCAAGAAAGATGAAGGGGTCGGGAATGTTTTGTAATAACAGATACAAGAAGCACAAATGAGTTCAGATTTTGGGCCAAGGGCTGATTTGAACAGGTTTTTGTGCATATACATAGGAAAGCTAACTCAATTGTTACAGTCTCATCCATGTGAGGAAGCTGGAAAAAGGCCCTTACCAGCTAGAATGTGAAGCTACATAGATACAAGCAACAAACGAGATGCATGTTTATTAATAATGAGGATAATTAGTCAGACTGTTTCACCAGCAATTGTAGCAGTTCTACTTTACCAAAAATTATTCGAGTCAAAATTAGGTATTTACCTAGAACCTGTGTAGTTCAAACAGGAAATAATTTACAGAAGTCTATAGCTATAACATACAGACTACTGGATTAAATAGCTAGGAACGGGCCCATCTGCTCTGGTAATCTGTTTTTAAATATAGCCATACGTATATACACATATGAATATACATGTATATATACATACACACACATAAACATACACATATATATATAGAAATAAAACTTCAGGCAAGCATTTCTGTCTGTTCAAGGGAAAAAAAAGAGGCTTTAACTACAGTGTCAATTGGTGCTACCGAAGAGCCTAAATGACAACTGTTCTTATCACTTGTCTATTTCTATCCTCGTTGCTGCAAAACATAATGAACCACCACTGATACATGGCAAGAGAGCAAGTTTTATAAGCTTTGCTAAATAACAGAGAATTACAAACTCAGAACAAAGCTAGAGGGCATTGCTTAAGTGCTTAATTCTCAAGAATACAACAGACTTCTTGGGACTACTGTTTCCAACTAGCTCTTTTTAGCAGCTAGTTCTTGTGACATACATGCATCAGCATAACCACTGCTCATCTGAGCTGCCAGAGCTGATCTTCTCCAGCCTCATCCTGAAATGTAGCCTGCAGCAAGACCAACGTGCAACTCTACTTACATCCAGTCATATAACCCTTCAAGCCAAGGCAAAAGGAACAAGGCAATATTACATCTACAAGCGTAACACTGGAAACTGTCACTCTCCTGCTGTTCAGGGCTGTCTGCCTGGACACTACAACAGAGTCCTACTTTCCTTTAAAGTGCCAGATCCTAGACACAGCTAAGGTAACAAAGCCTCCAACAGATCAATTCTTGCTACATCCCCGCTTACTAGAAAACTTTGGTTGTAAGACAGAGTCTCTTCCTCTCTTTTCTTTTCTTTCTTTTTTTTTTTTTTTTTTCCTAAAAAATGGGGCAGGGCACTGAGCATTCATTGACAGGCTTCTTCACTGTGAAGAGTGCTGGGCTGCATATTGGAAAAACCCACTCCAGCAGGAAGAATATTGTAAGGTCTCCAACCTGCATCATTTCCTAAAATGACTCAAGCAGCAATATTCACACAGATGTATCCTATGCCTTACTTTACAAATTCCACACATTCACCACACATACCACTGTAAAGGACATTAAAAATAAAACCTTTGCAAGTGAGGTCCATGTCTTGCAGAAGATCTGGTTGAATAGAACTGTAACTCACGTTTTCCTGCCATTCATAAGCTACACAAACTGCGATCAACAGTTCCTTTAATTGAATTAGAGCCTGGCTGTAGAGTCAGGAAATGTGTTTTCTACTCTGAGGGGAATGTAAAGGGAGAGCAGATGATTCACAGGCAGATCTGAAAACGTCGTAGCAAGATGTGTATTGGCCGTAAAGTTGCCCAGTTATCCCAAAGAACAGAGGTGAGTGGCATGTGGTAAACACTGATGCAGATAACCAGATGTTGCCTTAATGCTGCTCCTAAAAACTTAGTTCAATTTCCAGCCACCTAGAATAAAAAAAAGTCTCCTGATGGTACCTGGTGCTTTTAATGTCAACTAGTTCAGTTATATCTGCATTATCCTCTCCATGAAACATGAGGCTGGAAAGGCCTTCTAGACCTCCATTTTATAAAATAAATTTATTCTCCCCACAGCTCTAATTTGGAGACTTTTAGAGCTTCCTTGTTCTGAGGATTATACATTTTTATCTTGTTTCCAGGCCAAATTCATTTGGGTACCAGTCATACCCTTTTACTTTTTGACTAATGCTATCCTTTGGTTTAAATATGTTTCCCTTCCTGTTGTTCATTCCTGTAGTGCATTTATAGATGGAATCTTGCCCCTCACTCTTTCCTTCTCTCATAAAATGGGTTCCTAAGGTGACTGGGAAATGGATAACCTTTTTCTGCACTTGTTCAAAAGCTAAGAACCAGATGCAAAATTCTAGGTAAGATTTCATTCCTGCTTTGTACAATGCATTGATGCCCCCTTATAGTTTCCTGATTACTAGAACTGCAGTTGCATTTTTCCCATCTGCACGTCAGATCCATCCTTTGACTATCCTCACATCTATTCTTCTCCCACATCAGATGTTGTGTATAGCAGAAATCCTTGTTGATCTGTAGGTTCATAATGATGCATTTTGTCTTGCTGAATTTTATCCATTTCGATTCCATTATGGTTTAAAATTCTCTGTAAATGTAAACCAATACGAATATTGAATAAAATCACATGTATTGATAGGAATGTCATTACTCACTACCCTTATCTCATTTCAATGCTGCCTGGTTTTGTCCCCTCTTCTTCACCTGTATGTCCCTATTCACAAAGTACAGATTTGTTCAAACACTTTCTGCTGCTATATTCCAGTTCCTTCGGTATGCTGGAGCGGAGAGTCCCATACCCGGGAGAGGTCCTGGTAATATTTGTACAGGAGCTGGCAAAGAAATTCCAGACCTTTTCCATATTCAAGTGTGTTGCTTTCCCTAATCAGTTTTCCCTTTGAAACAGAAAATCTGAATCGCAAACCTACATTTGTTTATCATTTCATTTAATTTAAATAGAATCAATTTATGATCACCCAAGCTAGGATAATGTTTTTCAGCAACTTCTTTATCATATCCTTAACACCTGCAAGAATCATATTTGAAGTCATATCATCTCTTGTTGATTCAGGCACAATTTGATGAGAAAAATCTATTAGATATTATATCCAGGACTATCTAACCTTACATTTAATAGCATTTGCTCTCCAGTCTATTATCTGGGAGGTTTGTCTTCCCATGCTAGTTCCCAGTAATATATGGCTCTTTAATAACACTACAAAGATTTTATGCAGATATGATTTAATAAAACAGAGAAGCCTTCTAGCACCAACCTGGCAGACCCTTTTATCCATGCTCTGTCCCCTACTGGTTCCTTACAGCCTGTCTTGTGTTAGCACAAGACTGAAAGGGGAGCAGTTGTCATACATGGAATTTTCTGGATAATGCAGATGGATTTCAGAGAAGTAATTTACACAACATCTGCGTTGCAAGGAGGATTGAGAAGTTTGAAATTGCACAATAAAGTCAACCTTTTATGCTAGAAAAAACAAATAACATGGGGCCTGCCATTACTTCTGTTTACATGAGCATTAGACTGTGCCACAGCCAGACAACAGCTAGAAGATAATAGCTGTGAAAGCTTATTTTATTATCACTGTTGATCCCATCCGCAAAACATTTTCTACCATTATGAAAAATAGGCTCAGTGATACTCTTGAATCTGAATCTTCAGTTTCTGCTTATAGAAGCAAAACCAAGACATTGGAAATTTTACTGTTGAAAAAAGCTGCCAGATTTTTCTCTCTGAAGAAACCACAACTTGTTGAACTGTGAAGTCCTTCACAATATACAAGCCACAGCACTTTTATCACCACAAAGTAGCTGGCCCCTGATACCACATGAATGTGCTGTGGGTTCTCTTTTCCATATAAATATTTTTAGCATTTGGGTTTTCCTTGATTTTTGATGGATTGAACTCCCTGAGGAGTGGCTGGTGAAATACAATGAACTTCCTCATATCTGAGCACCATGGGAATAGCCCTGCTCTCCTCCACATCCAGCCCATGGAGAACTGTGCCATAAAAACAACATAATTAAGTGACTGACTTCTTAAAAGGCAGCTTTTCTTCCTAGCATTTGGAAACATCCTTGCTAACATCTAAACACGGTAGAGTTGATTTACAGCTTGTTTGGATCATACAGGTAGGAGCTGATTTGCTTTTGTAAGTTATCACTGAGAGGGTGAGAAAAACTTGTTTTATGAGAGGCAAAACCCTAGCTGACCCCAGGCCATAAGAATGCCCTTCTCCATCTAACCAGCTCACTGGAGAGGTGTGGTTTTGGCACAGGATCAGGAAAAATTACACCAGATAAATAAATGCAGTTCTGACAGACCCAGACTGCTGTCCCTGGACAAGCCACGTCTTTTCTTCCTCCATTCAGTAGTCACCAAGTAAAAGTAAAGTCTCCCTGAAGAGATAAGAAAGTATTAGCACTTTGGTGGAAACATGGTAGAAAATGAGGCTAGACAAATAAGTGCAAGCCTTTGCACAGATGAACTCGCAGAAGGCTCACTTGTTCACAGTCAACTTTTTTTTTTAAAAAAAAGTGGTGTGCCCTACAAGGCCCATACAAATATCTATAGGTTATACCTGTACAACTTCCTCATGCTGACAATCTCCAGCTTATCTAGGAGCATTTTCAAGGGGAACTCAATGTCTGTCATCGTCTTTGAAGTGATGCAGAAATAATCAAACATCCAGACAGTCCAAATAAGATTCTAGGTGAGCAGTTAGTTAACTCTCTAATTAGAGTTAACAGTTAGTTAACTCTAATTAGTCTGAGCAGCTGGAAAGCAAATGACTAGGAAAGCTGTCACCACTGACCAGCATGGCAGGTGTTCCCCCAGTGACTGATAATGGCTATGGAGCCATCCCAGGGGCATTTTACTTCCTTATGTAGGAAATCCCAGGCTATGGGACAACTTCTTCCAGAATCATCATCTAGGTTTGTAGATGTGGAAAGAAGGGATCCCTTTAGAAAGGGCCTACCAGCAACCTGACTTGTCCTTCTGGTCTTTAATAGTGGCAAAGAGCTGCAGGTTGGGTGTTCTGGAATGGGAAGGTATGTATTTGGCATGTGGCAGGCCTCAAACAGACAGATATATCTAGCACCAGCCGTGAGCCTATTTACTGAAAGGATCCTGAAAGCAGCAGTAAGGTGAAAAAATGAAACAGAGAGTAGCCAGCCCTCGGGGAGCAACCAGAACTCAAGACCTAGCATAAGGCTGTCAAATGCAGCAGCCAGTCAGTGACAGGTTCAGTAACAGCCTCCAGACAAGCCACTGTCAGCCTGTCCTTGTGAGTATCTAGAAGAGAGAATTCCCTCTGACCCAGCTCTGCACAGGCTGTTGCCCACCTCTTGCGGCATGAGCTTGGATAAAGCACAGAACCTTTGGGTTTCCTGCAGAGCGCAGCCACAGCCCGCACTCCTTATGCCTTTGGGTGCAACACTCCTTCAGTCAAGCCCTTCCACGCTGACATCTTTACTTTTATTTTTTCTGGTTTGAAAAGAATTACTTCCATGGCAGGGGAAGGGCAGGGTCTGAATAGCGGAGAGGGCCCGAATCCTTCATCCTCGGATGCTGTATGCTTCTTGTGGCACTACGATGACACTGTCTGCTCTGTGGGGATGCTCTTGTTCCAGAGTGCTGTGTGTCAAAGCAGGCTACTTCCATGGTCGTTTTTGCAGATTTACATACAGGAGCAGAGAAGTAGCCAGGAGTTTTAGTTAACGTATTTGAATACAAGATATTTGATAGGAGAAACCGCAGAAGGGTCTCACAAAGTTTTGCATGAAGCAGTAATCTCAGGAAATTAACCGTGACAGCTACTGCAGGGCCCTGATGGAGCTGTGCCATGGCCATGGGATGCGAAGGAAGGTGCAGCGTCCGCCCAGTGGGCGCCTGAGGTATGACAAGCCCGGGAGCACCAACATTTCTGTCATTGCGAGAATTTCACCTCACCGAGCAATCTGGTAGCACTTCCAGTTTCTTGAAATTGCCGTGTCGAGGGCATCCGTCTAATTTTCTATGCTGCTCCTGTAACTGAGTTCACACTGCGGACCTGGACACAGAGATAGACTCCACCAGGGCCATGCTGCCCGGGGTTAAGTCTTCTCACGCCCCCCAGTACGCACATTACCAGAAAGCACAAGGATGTGCTCCCATTTCCTAGTGGCAGCAGGACTTCAGCATAGCTTGCAAAACACTTTTGCAAGTCTCTAATGGCAGGTGCAATAGAAACATTATTTACTACTGTATTTTCCTGGCGGCTTTCCTAGATCTTTCTTGGAGCAGATGGAGAATGAGCAGCACTAACACTGAAGCTGTGGGTGCAATAATTCACACATGCCTAATACTCCTCTGAGTAGCAGTCACTTCCTTCTGTATGGAAAAGTGTGCTTAACCATTGGTACTACAACAGCCGAGCCCTTCCCTCACACAGCAACCCAGAAGATACTATTCATGAGTGCTCCCCTAGACAGCTGGGAAGGGGCTTGTTGCTGCCACGAGCTGTAAGATGCCAGGGCTGAGAGTTACAGCAAAGGAGCAGTGATGAGGAAAAATATGTGAAATATTTTCCTCCACCCCCAGGGGACAGGTCACAATCCTATTACCATGAAGTAGAGGGAAGTGAAGGAAGAAGACTTTGAGTAATGTAATCAAACAACATTGTAGGAACAAGGAAATACTCTTGTTTCTCGCAGAATGGTGTGAGCAACCAGAGGCATTAGAAATCCCAAATCCTCAGTGCACATGACTCACCTTAAAATCCCCCCTGATACTGCCTCACCTTTCATTTCACAGTCTGTAACAGGCAGTGAGAGCACGTGCCCTGTACACGAGCCAGATGCAGTTTGATCAGCCTGGGAGGTCAGCAGCAGGTGCAGCGCGTATCTTCATGGGGAACGTGTCTCTGGGTGTAACCATAGGGTGCCCTGCATGGCTGTGCTCAGCTGGAACGTAAGTAAGGATTTCCTGGATTAGTCCAAATTTATTGTAAAAAGGGACAGAACAAATAGGGGGAAAAAATACGCAAAGCAATTTGAAAGTATTCATATAGCAAAGACTGTTGTTACACCAGCTCAGTCACAGCAATTTAAATGCATATCCTGGTATATACTGGCATGTGGACAGAGCTCCCAAGGCTAATACCCCGCGCTATCCTGTACCCCCTGATTTCGTGGTGGCTGCCCCAGCCAGGCAGACAAGTGAAGTACCAGTCACTTGCATTTGAGCCTCACTGTTTGGCTCTAAGGACAATAGTGGGAATAAACACCTCTCTCAGCCTTGAAAAAGGCCAGTGCAAGATCTGTTCATATTCTCTGCTTCCGTTCCCCCTTGGCCTCCCTCCAGCCTTTGAAGAAGTGGGCACAGGTGACAAACTGTCCTTGTGCAGGGCGGGCTGGGACAGGGCATTGCCCAGGTCCTGCATTCCCCATGTGTGCTCCTTCAGAGGGCAGGCAGCTCCCTCGCCCGTCGATGGCTATCTGCCACCTTTGACTCACCTATGGACACGCTTGCACGAGGACCAAGTTCCCCAGTCTCCCATCTTCTGCCCATGGGAGCTAATCTGGCAAGCACAGACTGCCTTTTCTGCATATAACCACCACGCTCCAGATGAAAAGCAAAAATTGAAAACAAAAAATAGGAAAGAGCATCTAATGAATGTCTTTCATCTATGTCAGATAGCCTTCACCATGCAGTTGAACCTCAGGCCACGTTAGTTTGCAAATATTTCTAGGTGAAGGAAATGCTTGGAGATAAAAAAAGGTGGTGAGTTATCTGCATTTCAGTCAGCTCCAGTGGACGGTGGGGCCCCATTCTTCTCTCCTATACCACCTCTCCCACATACGGTGAAAAACAATCACTGCCACACAGTGCTTCATAGAATTAAGAAAATACACCGTGCAGTAGAAACCCTCACATGACAGATGGGGGTCTGTGGCACAGAGCAATTAGATGACTTGCTAAAGGTCTCGCTAAGTCTGTAGCAAAGCCAAGGACTGACTAAAGATGTCAAATGCCAGTAACACTCCTGTGCTTTCCCCAGGGGACTATCTAAAAAGCAAGACTATCAAAATTAATCTAAACGATACAGACATGGAAAAAACCTTCCCTGTCAAATTCTATCCTTACCTCCATTTTTCAGAAGGGCTCCCTGTCCATTCCTCCCCTGACCTCTAGTGGTTTAAACTTTGTCCAATGTAGAAGAGTGACTAAGCTGAAGTGAAAAGTGACTGTGCTAGTTCTGGCCCAATAAAACGCAGTCTTTGTCTACAAAAAAACAAGAAACCGAATCCTAAGAGCCTCCAAATGACATTTGGAACTTGTAGAGTTCAAACCAGACAATCCTGGTTGTAAGCCTGTTTCTGCAGAAAGCAAAGAAGGTTTTTCAGAGGAAATATTAACCTTGATTTAGCCTTTCCTAAGCTTAAGCATGTGTGGGTTTCTATGGAGTTGTTCTGTTCCTCTCGCAGAGGGAGAAGAATTCAGGAGGTGCCTACAAACCCAGATAATACAGGGACATCAGAACTTGGGACAGTCTCCTCAGGGACATGCGCCAGCACAGTAGTAGCCAATTAAAACAATCATGTTCCTGTAACCCAGATGTGATTGCCTATAAAATATCCTTGCACGGGTAAACGGATAGAAATATATCGTGCTTTATTTTTGAGCTTTCTGGGTGAAGGGTGCCATAGATACACAAAGTAGTGTTTGATGCTGCATTAAGTGCTTAGTATACTGTATGAAGTCTGGATACTTTATGAAGAAATAAGATTTGAGCCAGAACATGCTCGATATCCAGTTTCTTTAATGAGTTAATGCACTGCTTGTAAAGACAACTACAAGGTCATTGTGCCTTCACTCTCATTGCTGCATGACACAAACACGTATATGACGACAGAAAGCCAGGAGCTCCTAAAGGAACATATACATTTCCAAAAGGATGATTTGCCATCATAACTTGGGCCAAAGCCTTCACTTCTGTTTCATGTCTATGTCTCAAAAAAAAAAAAAGCAAGGAAAATAACATATTCCTCCTTCTCCTCCTTCTATCCCTTCCCAGCCAAAGGAAGAAGTCTGGCTTACCTATCCAGATGACTTGGAAATACCCAAAACATGCTTTTAGCTGCCTCGTATTCTCTATTGCCTTGGACTTTTGGTCTTTAGGCCATTCAGGGAGTGACTGCCACTGCTCTGTAAGGGATCCAATTCACGCCTAGCCCTATATGCTAAATAATGAATACTGAACATGTTTAGCATTTGAGTTTTCCTTCTGCTGTCTCCCTGTTTTTCACTCACTGATGATGAGGGACCTCAGTGGGCTGTTAAGTACTAAACCTCACTGCAGCAGCTGACCTCCGCAGCCTGTGCTCTGAGGAGCTGGGGAACACCTCGCACAATAAGCCTTGCAGGAATAGTGAAATTGCTCCCACTGGTGATGCTGCTTCAGAAGTTGTGCTATATGGTCCCTGCCAGAACAGAGGGCTTGTAGTCCAGGAGCCTGCTCTGGGTACTAAAGTGCTGTGCCTTTGACAAAATACACCATTTCCTACCCAGTTGCCTTGGCAGCCTTATTTCAGGGTAAAGAACAAAGAGGATACTTATCCTCTTCTAATTGGGAGATGGCAAGTGCTTATAGATGCTGATGTATGCATTGG